TTTTTAGTAGAGACAGGGTTTCACCATATTGGCCAGGCTGGTCTTGAACTCCTGACCTCATGATCCCCCCACCTCAGCCTCCCAAAGTGCTGAGATTACAGGCATGAGCCACTATGCCCAGCCTCCTCAGTGATTTTCAAAGTGTGGGCCACAAACTGTTAGTGAGTCATAAAATCAATTTAGCAGGTCCCAACTAATGTTTTAAAATCTAATAGAATAGACCAAAAATATCAGGGAGCGTTGCATGAAATAAGAGTATCTTCAGAACTTCCATGTCAAACATGTATTTATATGTATGGAGGTGTGGGAAATGGGTGGAGGTGAAGTACTACATAATTCCTAGAATGCTTACTTGTCAAAAAACAATTGAAGTCACCACCATACTTTAAGTGATGGAGTTCCTATGTTATTTCAAGCAATTTGAAATATTGATTTAATCTTCTCAACTTTGATTGTTGGGTTTGTATCAGACTACAATTCTTTATTTTTAAATAAAAATGATAGCAAGTAAATGGATATATTATCACATTCCCCTTTTCAGAACAGACCATGATCTGTTTGTCTGTTGTCTGGTATGAACTATTGAAATGAGTTCAAAATTCTTAACATAACTGAGGAATGTCACATACCATTTCTGTTTCGGTTTTGTTGTTATTGTTGTTGTTTTGACGTAGTGTTTACACCTTTGCTTGAGGGAATTATTTTCAATTAATCATTGGCATTTAAACACTGACACATCTGATATAAATATGAAATTAGTGTTTTCCTAGGTTAATGTGAGCAAGTTGAAATTTTTTCAGAATCTGACATTTTTGATTAGATAATGTATCTTGTCCGTGTCGGTACAATAAGATCAGCTTAATTAAAATTAAGTAGAATCATTTAAATCATGTGTCTATAACAGTCATAGATCTGAAATAAGCTTCTGGTTGGACTACAATAGAATTAATGATTAAAATAAGTTATGTTATTTAGAGCAGATGTTGCTTGAAATAGTGTAACAACTTATCACTTATCTCATGTACTTTTATTTTCTTGCACTTTCAGCCAAAATTGACCAAGAGGCAGAGGAAAATTCACTGACAGAGACTCATAAATGGTGAGAAATTACTTTATTTCTAACATGCTAAATATATTTCATCTTAAGGAACCAATTATTAGTTCAATTTTAATTTTCAAACATAAAACAAAAAGAAATCTAATAAAATGGTGTGCTCTAAATTCACAATGAAGTTCTGAATTTTATTTTTGTTATTTTGGGTACATAATTCTGTTAAATACCAAATTATTGTATATAGCTTAGCATCTTCTCTTTCACATGGGATTTAGAACTGTGGAAATACACGGAAGAAGGAAGATAGCAAGAACCTGTTTCAGAGTTTAGTTATTTAAAAAAAAAAAAACTATGTAATTTCCATATTCAAAAATGAAGTCTAGGTAGGAAGCCATGAGCATCCCTTGGATGCACCTTCATTTCCAGAATGGAGGCTTGCAATTATGGGTAAATATAGAAAAGTGTCTCAGAAATCTCCCTGCTTCTCTGCCTCAATTTTCTCTTCTTCCATCTCTCTATATTCATTAGGGTTCTCTAGAAAAAAAGAACAAACTGGTGAAACAGATATAAACACACACATACACACACACACACACACACACACACAGGCATACCTCATTTTATTGGACTTCTCTTTGTTGTGCTTTGCAGATAATTGTATTTTTTTTTTAATTGAAGGTTCATGGCAACTGTTTCTATCAAGTCTATGGGTGCCATGTTTCCACCAGCATGTGCACACCTCGTGTCTCTGTGTTACATTTTGGTTAATTCTTGTAATATTTCAAACTTTTTATTTTTATTATCTGTTACTACAAGTGATCTGTAATCACTGTTCTTTTATGTTGCTATTGTAATTGTTCTGGGACACCATGACCTGACCCATATAAGATGGCAAACATAGTAGAAAAATATTGTATGTTCTAACTGCTCCACCAACCAGCTGTTCCTTTGCCTCTCCCCTTTCCACAGGCCTCCATGTTCCCTGAGACACAACAATATTAAAATTAGACCAATTAATTACCCAACAATGGCCTCTAAGTATTCAAGTGAAAGAGTCACACATCTCTCACTTTAAAACAAAAGCTAAAAGTGACTCACTTTAATGAGGAAGGTATATCAAAAGCCGAGATAGGCCCAAAGCTAGACCTCTAGTGCCAAACAGTCAGCCAAGTTATGAGTGCAAAGAAGCAGCTCTTGAAGGAAATTAGGAGTCTATTTCAAGGAATGATAAGTCTATTCAATGAATGATAAGGAAGCAAAACAGCATTCTTGCTGGTATGGGGAAAGTTTTAGTGGTCTAAATAGAAGATCAAACCATCCACAATTTAACAAAATGCCAGGATTTGGTTTAGGACTGCTACTTGCCACACAGAAAGCCAGTCACTGAGATGAGTATTGCCAGGGACAAAGGCTTTTTTTTTTTCCATTTATTTATTTTATTGCATTTTAGGTTTTGGGGTACATCTGAAGAACATGCAAGATTGTTGCATAGGTACACACGTGGCAGTGTGATTTGCTGCCTTCCTCCCCATCACCTACATCTGGCATCTCTCCCCTTGCTCTCTCTCTCCAACTCCCCTCCCCGCACCGTCCCTCCCCTATTTCCCCCCAACTGACCCCAGTGTGTAGTGCTCCCCTCCCTGTGTCCATGTGTTCTCATTGTTCAACACCCGCCTATGAGTGAGAACATGCGGTGTTTGATCTTCTGCTCTTCTGTCAGTTTGCTGAGAATGATGGTTTCCAGGTTCATCCATGTCCCTACAAAGGACCCAAACTCATCGTTTTTGATGGCTGCATAATATTCCATGGTGTATATGTGCCACATTTTCCCTGTCCAGTCTATCATCGATGGGCATTTGGGTTGGCTCCAGGTCTTTGCTGTTGTAAACAGTGCTGCAATGAACATTCGTGTGCACGTGTCCTTATAGTACAATGATTTATAATCCTGGACAAAGGCTTTAATTGGGTTCTGCAGCCAAGGTGCTGGGAGATCAGTCTCAAATCCATCTCCCTGACTGACTAAAATTAGGGATTTATATAGCAGGGAAGAAATGTAACCATGTGTGGGAGAACAGAAGCTAGGGAGAGGTAAGGAAGAGGAGGTGGTCAGCAGCAAGCAGCTGGTGGGTTAGGCAGTCATAATGGGTGAAGGGTCTGGCATCTCATTGTCCAGATGCAGTGATCTGGTGAGTTTCAGCTCCTTGATTCTATCTTGGAAGCCTGATGGTTGGTTTCCTGAGAAAAAAACTCAAAAAAGGCACATGTAACTTTCTCAAGTTTCAAGACTAGGAGGGTCAATTTCTATGTTTATTCAAATTAAATCATAAACATCAGTTCTATGGGACCATTGTGCCGATTTCAATTCCATTAAAACAAAGCCTAATCCTGAGCAAGACACTAACTCTATACAGTTCTGTGAAGCCTGAGATAGGAGAGGAAACTACAGGGGAAAAGTTTGAGGCCATTGGAAGTGGGGTCATGAAGTTTAAGGTAAGAAACCTTCTCTGTAATAAAAAAGTGCAAAGTGAAGCAACAGGTGCTGATGGAGAAACTACAACAAGTTATCCGGAAGATCTAGCTAAGCTAATTGATGAAAGTAGCTAAACAACATATTTCCAATGTAGATGAAACATCTTCTCTTGGAAGAAAATACCATCTAGGACTTTCATAGCTAGAGAGAAGTCAATGCCTGACTTCAGAGCTTCGGAGAACAAGGCTGGGTTTGGTCGCTCATGCCTGTAATCCCAGCACTTTGAGAGGCCAAAGCAGGCAGATCAACTGAGGTCAGGAGCTTGAGACCAGTCTGGCCAACACAGTGAAACCACATCTTTACTAAAAATACAAAAATTAGCCAGACATGGTGGTGCAGGCCTGTAATCCCAGCTACTTGGAAGGCTAAGGAAGGAGAATCACTTAAACCCAGGAGGCAAAGGTTGCAGTGAGCCAAGATTGTGCCATTGCACTCCAGCCTGGGTGACAGAGTGAGACTCACTCTCATTAATTAATTAACTAATTTTTTAATAAATCAAGCTTCAGAGAACAGGATGACTGTCTTGTTAGGGGATAATGCAGCTGGTAACTTTCAGTTGAAGCCAATGTGCATTCACCATTCTGAAAATACTAGGGCCCTTAAGAATTATGCCAAATCTCCTCTGCCTGTGCTGTATAAATGGAACAACAAAGCCTGCTCATCTGTTTATAGCATAGGGTACTGAATATTTTAAACCCACTACTGAGACCCATTGCTCAGTAAATATTCCCTTCAAAATATGACATCTCATGAACCATGCACTTGGTCACCCAAGAGCTCTGATGGAGATGTATAAAGAGAATCATGTTTTGATGCTTGCTGACACAACATTCATTTTGTAGCTCATGGATAAGAAGTAATTTTGACTTTCAAGTCTTATTATTTAAGAAATACATTTGGTAAGGCTATAGCTGCCATAGGTAGTGATTCCTCTAACAGATCTAGGTAAGGTAAATTGAAACCTTCCTGAAAGGATTCACCATTCTATATGCCATCAATGACGTTCATAATTCATGGAAACAGGTCAAAATATCAACAATAACAGGAATTTGGAAGTTCGTTTTGAACCTCACAGATGGTTTTGAGGATTCCAAGACATCAGTGGAGAAAGTAACTGCAAATGTGGCGGAAATAGAGAATTTGAGGTAGAGTCTGAAGATGTGACTGAATTGCTGCAATCTCATAGCAAAACTTGAACAGATGAGCAGTTGCTTCTTATGAATGTGCAAAGAAAGTAGTTTCTCGAGATGGAATCTACTCGTGGTGAGATGCTGTGAACATTGTTGAAATGACAACAAAGAATTTAGAATATTACATAAACTTAGTTGACAAAGCAGCAGCAGAGTTTGAGAGGATTTGCTCCAATTTTGAAAGAAAGTAAAGTGCTATCAAATGGCATCATATACTACAGAGAAATCTTTTGTGAAAGAGTGAATTGATGTGGCAGATTTCATTATTGTCTTATTTTAAGAAATTGTCACAGCCACCCCAGCCTTCAGCAACCACCATTCCAGTCAGTCAATAGTCATCAACATCAAAAAGTTATTGAGTCACACTCAAGACTTAGATAACCATTAGCATTTTTTAGTAACAAAGTATCTGCTAATAAAGTATGTGTTTTTTATTTTACACATAATTCTGTTGCATACTTGACTATAGTATAATGTAAACATAACTTTTATATTCACTGGAAAACCAAAAAATTAGGGCAAGCTGACAATTCTGGTAGGAGTTGATCTTGCAATCTTTTTTTTTTCTTTTTTTAAATTTCAACTTTTATTTTAGATTAAGGAGTACGTGTGCAGGTTTATTACATGGGTATATTGCATGACACTGAGGTTTGGAATCTAAATGATCCCATTATGTAGGTATTGAGCATAGTACCCAATAGGTGGCTTTTGAGCCCATGCTCCCCCTACGTTGTTTAGTAATCCTCAGTGTCTGTTGTTCCAGGTTTTATGTCTATGTGTGATCAGTGTTTAGCTCCCACTTATAAGTGAGAACAGGCAGTATTTGCTTTTCTGTTCTTGCATTAATTCACTTATGATAATGGTCTCTAGCAACATCTGAGTTCCTTCAAAGAACATGATTTCATTCATTTTATAGTTTATGAATCATTATACATAATTCATATTCCATGATGTATGTAGCCAATCCACTGCTGACGGGCACCTGGGTTGATTCCATGTCTTTGCTATTGTGGATAGTGCTGTGATAAACATACAAGTGTGTGTGTGTGTATTTGACAGAATGAGTTATTTTCCTTTGAGTGTATACCCAGTAGTGGGATTGCTGAGTCGCATGGTATTAGAGTTCTGTTTTCAGTTCTTGGAGTGAGAAATCTCCAAACTGCTTTCCACAGTGGCTGAACAACTTTGCATTCCCACCAATGGTGTACAAGCATTCCCTTTTCTGCACAGCCCCACCAACATCTGTTACGTTTTGACTTTAATAATTGCCATTCTCACTGGTATGAGATAGTATCTCATGGTGATTTTGATTTGCATTTCTCTGA